TAGGCGTTCGGGGTACGCGTTGGCTTGGGCGTCGTCGGCTTCGGGGTGCGCGTCGGCCGTTGGGTTGAAGGGGAAGGCGTGTCAGGCGCCTCTGTCGGGTATCCGTAGGCGTACGAGTCGAAGTCATCCGATCCATACGCAGCGATCGACTCAGTGCCGTCTTGGGCTTGGGCCTCGCGAGCCATGGCGAGGAGGGTGATACCGAGAAAGATTGCTTTGACAGACACCATTACGACAGTTGGTTTGGCTCGACGAGACACGAGAAGATTGGGAAATGAGCATACATACTCGATCAATGCCTGGTAGAGGCCTCGAGCACCCCCACCACCAGCACAGCATGCGCTGAGCGCTGCATACTACCGTTCGTCACATGGTGTACACCGTATGTGACTAAAACAGGCTATTTGTGCACGCGCTGCCTGTAAAAGCCGCGCGAACCGACACCAGTTGCTCAAAAATATCGTTACCCGCGGTTTTTACCGGTAACTCGGTGTCTCGTTGCGGTGAATTGCGGCTGTGGTCAGACCTTGCCGGCATCACGACGGGTTCCTATCACCTCGTACGACCACGCACTCTATCCGTTCGACGTCGCCTCTTTTGGGGCTAAATGTACGCCAAACGCACGGATCGGGAGCGACCAACGAACTTGCGTGTTTTCAAGAGCATTCAAGTGCCCTACATGGAACTGCGTGCCGGTATACTGGACGGGTGCTGCAATAAGAAGACCAAGGTGATGGCATAAATGAGGCACGTTCTTCAGTTGGCTGAAATACAGTGACGTCTGGCAGTGTCGGATGTCGTGCGGTAGAGAAGCCTGCAACGCTGCCACGCAACGACCTTTAAGCCGCCAATCACTGACCGCAGCGGTGGATCTTTGCACATCATCAATAATGCCGCAGTGGTCCAAGCTGGACTTGGTATCGAGGCCATGAATACCCAAAGCTAATACACCTTAGATGTAATAGTATGTGCGATTAGCTGAGATACCCAGCGTACGCTCCAAATTTTTTTGCACAACGAGAATATTACGGGCGAGCACACGCAACAAGTAAGAAGTATCGCCGCACCGATGCCATGGCCCGTGGGTCGATGCTACCCAGTAAAGAAGCCTCGCCGTCGACCACAGCGGTGCAACACAGATCCGTACTACTATGTAATAGCACCACCAATCGATCGCTCTCGATCACTCTCGGTAACATCATTGCAGGCTTACATGACGTACATAGCGATATATGATTTTCATGCCGTCGATCGCAGCAACGAATGTATGTTACGTGGGTCCTCTGTGGCAAAGCTCTGTGGCGACGCAGGGGCACGGTTTCTCACCGGTTACTACTTGTCGCCACATGTATTGCTTGAGAGGACTATCTCTACGCTGGTACCAGTGTGCGGCCCGTAGAGAGCCGCACATGAGCTTCCACCGGTTCTATCGCTGGAACGAAGAGCATGGAACGTATGGACTAGCCTCCGAGAGCGTGATTGTACTATACAGCATCAGGATATGGACATGGTTGTGGAATGCGCGCGAACAATCCGCACTCAAGCTGGTTTGCCAATGGCAACGTTGTACTTGGCACGACCACCCGACGGCGTTTCAGCCATCACATTCCCAGTGCGCGGGTCTATCTTACTCATCCTCGTCTGCGACCTCCTCAAAGATCTGCGGCGAGAACTTTTGTCGCGAAAGCATGGGTCGGCAATTCTTCTGCTATGCATG